CCCCACCACTTCGGGGTCAGGCAGCGAGAGGGTGGGCAGCAGCAGGGGCAGGACGGGCTGCTGGTGCAGGTGCTGGCAGTAGGCTGGTCCCTTCTCCGCTATATTGCACAGAATTGTCAGGACCTGGATGGAGGAGAAAGCCACGTGAGGGAGTGAGTGATGAACACGTGGTTAGCGTGGTTCCAAGAAACATCCCATGTCCTTCTTGGAGGTCCTGCCCAGGTGGTTCCCCAAAGCCACGTGCCCACCAGACAGGTTTCTAATGCTCTTTAAAAGCCTTCTTCACCCCCACGCCACTGTTTGCCTCCCGCCAAGCTGACACAGCTGTACCACCCACCCCTTGGCAGAGCATCCCCCAGGGCCCCCTTAAAACTTCGGTGTCCTTTAGTTTTAGGCAGCAGCCTCCCCAAGCCCACCCCCAAGTTAACATCTGTGACCCCTTTTTCTGCAGGGATAAGATTCTGTCAAGGGTAAATACAGACACGGGGATGTCAGGGGAGGTGGATGGTGGCTCTACCACTACCAAGGAGCCTCCACCAACACAAGCCAAGCTCCAATGTGAGCGCTGTGCACACAGGATTTCAGGTTCCTACAAGTCCAGCGCTTTTCCCCACCCCAGACCTGGGGCTGGAGGCGAGGTCTTACCAACACAGTGGCCATCTGAGAACAGGGCAGGAGCTGCAGCAGGGCTGGGAGCAAGCCCAGGGAGAGCAGAGCAGAGCAGAAGAAGGGTTCATCAGCTGGAGGGGGCACAGAGGGAACATGTCAGTACAATGGAGGTTTCTGAGGGGAGTCTCTGTAGACAAAACGCCACAAGTCTGACAGCATTTGAGGCACGTACCAGCAGCAGCTTTCGCTCTGCCAACAGCCCCACAGGGATGCTCACCTGTGAGGTTGTTCAACAGCCAGAGCCCCTCCTGGATGAGGAAGGGGTGCTGCTGGAAGAAGTGCTCTAGGACTAGGAAGAGGGCGATGAGCAGGCGCTCGTCCTGGATCTGCGCTTCGCAGCCCGACTCCTCCGCCAGCAGGTTGCCGAGACACCGAAGCACTGGGCATACGAGCTGGGATGGTGGGAAAAGCAAACTCCCTTTAGCTGGGCCTTATCCTCACAGTGATGCTGGGAATGACCAGTGCCCTGCCCACATCTTACCAGCTCCAGGCCCTCGGGAGCATCCTGGGGCATTTCAGAAGCCAGGTCAAGCAAGAGTGAGACGAGGGCAGGCAGGGCTCCCAGCGTCAGCAATGCTGCATCAGCTGTGTGGCTGCGAAGGGAAGGGACAGTGTGGTTGCTCTCGGTGCTCAGAGAGGGAAAACTGCTGCAGCTCTCGCCAAACTATGGGGCCCAGAAATTCCTAGAAATCAATTCCTGGAAATGCTTGGAAATTCCAAGCACTCTCCTGAGCCACTACAGGCCTTGTTTCACGTTTGAACAGCAGCTTGTTCCTGAGCTTCTGAGAAAGTTTAAAAGCCCACGAAAAACTGGAATTATCCATGTCCGTCTGGAAACAGCAGCCCTGATCGTCCTTTGAGTACCCAGCTGTATGACAGTGGGCCAGCCCCAGAAGGATTCAAGGAGCTTGCCTTGGGGAATGTGAGGCACACCTCTGGACATGGGGAGGCAATTGCCAGGGGCAGTTCACAGGACTAGGAACAGCCTCCTTAGATTTATCATCCTGTAAAGGAGCTCAGTGTTCCTGCAGATATCTAACAGTGGGAATGTCCAGGACAGCAGAGAAATTGTTTTCCAGAGACAAGGGGGCAAGGTGAGGCAATCTAGATCTCCTTGCAGGGCCCTGAGCCTTTGTGCCTCTCTGGCTAACCCGCAGGGAACTCAAAACGAGCAGAAAAGTGCATTTACCTACAAATGATGTAGTGGAGACACCACGCAAATTCCACGGCTGCTCCCAGCCCAGCCTTGAGGCCAGAGCAAACCAGTCGAAGCATGTGCTGGGGGAGAACAGAGTCCAGAACCAGGCTGGGTTCAGAACAACACAGTTAGTGGAGGCACAGGGCGAGCACACACAGGACGAACAACTGACAGGGAGACGCTAGCCCCAGCTACCAAGCAAGAGAGCTGCTCTCCCCTACACCAGGGGCCACATGTTCCAAAAACATGCCTGGAAGAGACTCTGACCATAAGGGCTGCAGCCTCAGGCACCACTAGGACCCAGCACAAGCTCACCCTGTCCATGGCAGGGCCTGGGGACACACAGGACACCTTGTCCAGGGTCACATTTTTGGCACCAGGATCTGTCAAGCTGATTTTTCTCTTCGCAGGAAGAATACAGCCAGAACTTCCCTGCAGGCCTACCCTGCACAACACTGTCCTTTATGGAAATACCAGAGCTGTCTGCTCAGATGAGGCTGTAGGAAAAGAGTCAAGCCCTCATGCCCTAATCAGCTACAAAACATCCATAGTTCTGGAAGGATTCTGTTCTGAATTATTAATGTCACTGAGATGGGAAAGGCATTGCTGTCCCTGGCATGCAAATACCATGCCAGGCCCCAGGGCACATTCCGACACGGGGTTAAGAGGCTCGGACTCACGGTATGATCTCTGTGGGGGCTTCCTTGGCTTGGAGGAGCTGTGAGAGGAGGTAGCCCAGACCTTCCAGCACAGCCTCGTGCGGGGACTGCAATCAAACAGAAGAAAGCTAATCCCATGCGACAGAGCTGGGGGATCCCTGGGTGCCAGCTCCTGGGCTGGCAAGAGGGCGATACCTCTTTGTCACACCAAACCAAGCGGCTGAGCAGAGCAGCCTCTCCATGTCTGGAGACGACAGGGCACTGGGAGCAATAAAGCAACCCATGGCAACGCCAAAGCTGAGCTGAGCACCCCCTCCCCGCACTCACAGGGGATCTGGGAGCCCAAACAGCAACAGCACTGCTCTGAGCATGCAGATCTGCAAGTGGCAGGCCTGATCGTTTTTGCTGCTGGGGAGGAGAGTCTGCAGCTCCCTGTGTTGCAGACTTGGGGAAGCCACAAGGATGTGAGAGGTTCAGCTGAAGAAGAGCACAAGATGGTGACCTGAACCCCGAAAATGGAGTGCAGGAGAGCCCATAAGAGACCCTTATGCACCAGGGAACAGCCTTCTGCAGAGGGATCTCTGTTCATGGCCACTGCTGGAAGGAGGGCTTGTAACACTGTTAGCCAGCATCTGAAGGGTATCACAAAAGGCATCTTTCTGGGACAGGACAGAGGAAGAGCATGGCTGAGCTATTTCACCCACCTGGATGCAGGATGCCAGCACTGGAATGATGCCCTGAGGCAGAAGCTGCTTCCTTATGGCTTGGCTTTCTACTACCAGGTTCCCCAGCGTGTACAAACACAGCTCCTGAAACGCACCGGGGAGAGCAGGTCACCTCCTCCCCATTCCCCCACGGCACCCTGGGCACCCAGCAAGGCCTCCCGGTCCCTGCACTCCAGGACCAGGGCACACACTTCCCTAAGTGAGGCAGAAGCTGTCTTCAGTGGGATAAACATACACAGACACTGCTGGACTCTCCAGCTACTCCCTTCCCAGCTGTATCAGCTCTGTTCGGATCAGGCTGGGATCTGATCGTAGCACACTGGAGACAGTCCTGCTCCAATGGGAATGTTGGACTAGACACCTCCAGAGGGTCCTTTCCCACCAGCACTTTTAAATGAGCCATGTTAGGCTAAAGCTAGCCAAAAAAAGTTATCTCATAACCACTACCAAAGGATTATCAAGTGCCAGAGCCCTGATAAACACAAGCATGGGTCTTACCGTGAACTCAATGCTGTGTCCTGAGAGGTAGGTGAGGAGATAGGAGGTCACTGGCAGACATGCCTCAGCCACAGCAGGGTCACTGGAGTGGGATAGCTCGTGGAGACAGCGAGCTGCCTCCATCTGTATGTCAGCCAGGCTGCTGGTGAAGAGTCCGATGAGTGTCCGGATGCTGCCGTCCAGCCTGGTGGGACCCAAAGGTGCCATAACCTCCTGCCTTCCCACCCTTGGCCACACACCAGCTCACCCACACCACGGCTGGGACACAGGGCCACTTGAGACGTGCCCAGCCATGCAGTGACCTATGCTGACCTGACAAACTTCTGCTGAGTCTCTTTGTTCTGCAGAGCCCAGCGGAGGTGGCTGAGCCATCTTTTCCTATCGTCTGAACCCTTCTGCACGCCTCTGAGCAGCTCAAGAACCTACCCAAAGTGTAAAAGGTCGGTAAATTTCAAGCAGTGCCAGAGTTAAGACTTCATCCCCTTATTCCTGGAAGCAAAGAAACACAGGGTGCAGAGAGAACCTTATTGTTGCTCACTGTGTCTGGCAGTGACTCATAAAGCGCTCCCAAACCCACCTCCACCCAGGCTCCTCTGCATGCCTAGAGGTTGGGGAACACCACAGAAAACACCATTTTCCTCACCCCATCCTCTGACAGAGGGTCCGGCGCGA